TATCGTATGGAATTGTGAAAAACAACAATTTTTAATCACAATTTCAGTCATATCTATAATAAAATCAGTATTTTAGAGTACTTTGGAAACAGGTACATGAGAGAAGTTGAACTCTACTGTTTTGAAGTAGAAACGCAGCCAAAACCAGGTACAAAATGACATGACTGGTGGTCACCAAAATTGATGTATAATAGTAAAAAATGATGGCTTCATAATTGTGTAGAAATTTGAAATAGGTTACCCGGTTTCATTTAAGATTTTGAACGTTCTATTCAGTATTTGGATACGCAAACGTCAAGTTATATAAATTCGATGTTTTGGCGAACAAAAAAGATGGCTGATCATTTTTAGAACGGACAGGATAAAGTAATAGCAAATAAAAGTTATTTTCGACAATATTTCAATGTCGTATTGAAACTATATTGTTCACAAAATCTACAAACTTTAAAACTCAATTGTAATAAAAGCATGACAAGTTGAAAAAAATAGTTAAACGTCGATTTTTTAGCCGATTTATTTCGCGGACTTTTTGACGTCACCGACGACTGTAGCGCCACCTAATTAATTTCCCCTGCTATTGTTGCTGATAGAGCTTGACGACAACGGACTTTTCCAAGGACTTGCTTTCTAACTGTAAATATACATTCTTTTAATTCAGATTTTGATATGATAAAAAAAAAAAACGTTACCTGACAATAGCGTTTCTTTGTTTACATTGCAAATGACGTCACAACATAATGTCTTAACAATAGAACCAACATCGGAAACGTTGCGGTATTTCCGTTTCTTTTTCAACAGATTCTGAAGTTAGGTTATATATAAATACCTTTTTATAAAAAAAAAATACAAAACAACTTTCAAGGAATAAAAAATAAGCATTGTATGACATAAAAAAAATTAAACGCAGACAATTAACCAAAAAAATACATCTTTTAGTTTTAAATCATACCTTTTAATAAATAATTTCAAAAATGATTTCGCAGAACAACTCTTCTTTATCATATATTTCAATAATTTTATTAGTGACAAACTTACTGCCAAAAGAAAAAGAAGTGACACCGAAACGAAGCTGAATTTTTAATAATGACAATTGACATATATTTTTCTTATTCAAAATTATAAAATCATTCTACATAGAATGTGTCATTTACAACCGCATATCTTCATAATGATGTACCTAGATCTACATGTTACACTGAGGTATTGAGCAAAATTGACACAATTTTTGTTTTTTATATACAATAACATGCATGATGGCTTACCATCACAAAAGAGTAAAAAAAAGGAAAATGATACAATGAGAAGAAAAAAGAGAACACCAGATCTATTAGCAAGAAGTGAGAAATTTGTACATAACGCGATGCAGTAAACATGGTGAAGAAACAATGAAATATGATTATTTCTAGCAAAATTTACCTTGTCACACAAATTTAGACCAATGTTTTTATGTTATCACCTTCTACATTCACAGTAGCCACTTGCAAACCCATTAATCAAAGGTCATGCATCCCAATGAGATATGATGTATATTGAATTTTACAACCTTCAATCAGAGTTTAAAGTCTGAAGCAAGAAAATAAGACACTTTCATGACCACTGTTAGAGTGTTTCTACTCTATGTATATAGAAGCTGAAACTGTAACACTTTTATGACTCAAGCCCATTTCTATACTGTTTTATGGTGTGATGTTTTTCAGATGTTTATAAAAATTAGGAGATGTGGTGTAATTGCAAATGAGACAACTTTATGTATATGCCTGTCCCAAGTCAGGAGCCTGTAATTCAGTGGCTGTCGTTTGTTGCTGTGTTACATGATATGTGTTTTTCGTTCATTTTTTGTACATCAATTAGGCCATTAGTTTTCTCCTTTAAATTGTTTTACATTTGTAATTTTGGGGCCTTTTATAGCTGACTGTGCAGTATGGACTTTGCTCATTTTTGAAGGCCGTACGATGACATATAGCTGTTAATTTCTGTGTCATTTGATTTCTTATGGAGAGTTGTTGGATTGGCAATCATACGACATCTTATTTTAAATTTTTATCGACCAAAGATCAAATGAAGTGGATATAAACAATTATAGGCAACCGTATAGCCTTCTAAAAAGAGAAAAACCCATACAGTCATACAGTATACTTGGCTATAAAAGGCCTTGAAATTACAAATGTAAAACAATTCAAACGAGAAAACTAAAGGCCTCGACATGTTTGTTTGTTTGTGTTTTTTTTTTAGCAGTCGTCAGTTAATTTTACTTTTTTTCTGTACGTTTTAAGAAGACAACAGTTATAAGCTATTTGAGACATTGAATAGTTGCCATTCGAAAGCATAGAACTGTTCAAGTTTTTACTAGCTTCAATAGTGTTATTGTCCATTGTATTGGTGTGTCTGACATGTCTCCAAGGCATCCATATTTAATAGTATCGTATATCACCTTCCACATTTTCCATATAAATTGAGATTACTAGTGGCACTTCCTGTATACAAGGTGCTATGATGTGCCGCTGGAATGGTCGGGAAAATATCAGAAAAATATGATAAGGTCAATAAAGTTCCCGTAACTTCTTCGTCTGTCACCGTTCTTGGTGTTCCTGCTGTGTTTTAATCAACCAAGTTTTCATATTTGACATTTTGGTATTCCACTCCTACATTACACACCACATGAAACCCAAACAATATGGGAAAAGGTTACATTTTCACATACGCAATATATGAAAAGGTATCCATTTTTTAAATCAAAATCATATGAATTGAAGGTGAGGTAACTCTGAAATTTTCTGAAGGAATTTAAATTAAATTTTGCTATTTTATATTTTAGCCCGAAAAATTGTACAGTGACCCTATCTTTTCTTATAATATTATCAAAGCATTTTCCAAAAGTTGTCTTCTCGTATTTATTTTACAATTCTATCATTCAGTTTGGTATGAAATTTGAAAAAAATAGGCAGGACAGGATTTTTGAGTAAAAAAAAAGGCAGGATGAGATTATTTGCAAAAAAAAAAAGGCAGGATGATAATTTATGTAAAAAAAAAAGTCAGGATAAACTAAAAAAAAAAAAAGGCAGGACCGAATAGAGTGAAAAATAAAAAGACAGGACCGAATAGAGGGGAAAATAAATAGGCAGGACAAAATTTTTCATCCTAGCCCCCCCATAAAAATCAAATGGTAACTCCCTTAACATCGATCGAAAACTTAAAATATTATAAAAATTTGCCAAGGCTTATTTGTGACACGCTCTTCTATTAACGATCGGACTCAAAGGGTTGCCTTGAGTAAAGAAATATGGTTATCACAGGAGTTCTCCGGCCCGTACTAAATCGCTTGCTAAAGTGTGACATCCATTCTTTTGTGTGAGATGCATAAATACGCAGCCACGCTTGCTAGAGTGAGACGTCCGTTTGGAGGTGTTTATAGGGTGCATGATAAATACACAGTCACGGCTGGCTAGAGTGAGACGTCCGTTTGTTGTCTTTGGTGGTGTATATAGGGTGCATGATAAATACACAGCCACGCTTGCTGAGTGAGACGTCCGTTTGGTGGTGTATGTAGGGTGCATGATAAATACACAGCCACGTCCGGTCAGAAGGGGGACGATACATCAGAAGCTCTGTGTAAGATGATGGGCACGCTCTCAGACCTCGTCTTTTTTTGCGCAATTGTGTATGTACAATTGCAATTTTGTATCTGAAAGGAACTTCTAATTTTTGACAGACACCATTTACCTTTCAACAATCTTCTTTTTAGATAAAATCGGCGTGGCATTAATATAATAGAAAAGAAAGGATGGCATGTTTTTTCCAGGCTTGATATTTTTCTGTTTAAGACATCCGCTTCATATCTGTTCTGTTCATGCCAAACTCTGTGATCGTTTGCTTACTTCTTTAAGTTAGCTTAAAATTTTTTGGAAACTTTGATTCTCTTTCTACTAAGCTTATTAAAATCAGATATTTCACTTTGGTTCATTAGATTTGCTTGTCATTGCAGGAAAAACATAAATGGTCATGTTCACATGCAAATAAAACAATATAAAAATAAGATGATGTGGTATGATTGCCAATGACGTAGAAGCTTACACATATAGGTCACCGTACGACCTTCAACAATGAGCAAAACACATACCGCAAAGTAAGCTATAAAAGGCCCCGAAATGACAAATGTAAAACAAGACTTTTTCCAATATAGAACTTGATAGTCCTGTCATTTGATACATACCACACATTCTATAGCAAGTGCCCATCCCCCCTAAGCGAGAGAGATCACAAAGTGAACAGAGATCTTATAATCAAAATATGTGATCATATATTTTAGACTGGTTCGGATCCTATGTGAGGTCTTACAATGATAATCAAGAAACTTTTCCAATACTAATTTTTGCATATTATTAGTTAATACAATAGTGACCTTTAGACATAAAATGGATCTTCCTCTCAATTTGACCATATATCTTAGTAAGGTTGCTAACCGATATACAGTATTAAATCATGATCCAGTAAACAAAGCGTTATGGACTGACGGACGGGTCAAAATTATTCATAGCTTTCAATATTGGTTGTTTTTGTAGTCTTTCGGAATACCGGAAGTGCCTACTGTCTTTTCGGAATACATCTGTTCTTTTCAAGGGCCGCCTGCGTAATAGGTAATTAATTGATCTAATGAATATGAATTAGCGTGTAAAAGTTGCTATAGAGATAAGTGTTAATCGAGGCTGATTGATATCCTACATCAGTAGTTAAGAGCAATTCTCTGTAACCACCAACCATTTCATATAGCAGGTCGGCACGCATAGTCACTTTCCTGAAACTTACAAGACCATATAATTAGGTGAAAAAGTAAGAAAAATGCCTCCCAAAGTATTGCTAGGGCACGGTTGCCAAGGCAACCAAGTCAATGAGTTTTCCCGTACATTTTGGGGAATTTAGCATTCAAAAAACAACTACAAACTTTGCAGGCATTTTGAAGCAAAACCAGATTTTATTTAATGATATTTGTTAATATTTTTCAGAAACATGATACTAAACAAACATAACAGCAATGCCATATATAAAAAATATTTTGACTGAATATTGTTACAACCGCGGGAGCAGAGGTAATTTTTCATTGTGTTTCTGAGGCAAATTATACACATTTAGTATGAGCAAATTATACAGTTTTGCATCCACCTCCATTTGAGTTGGGGTTATAACTATAACAATCAATCTCTCTAGTCAATAATTTACCGTTAAGTTATTTGGAATTCCGGGTGCTAGGATGGTTGCTATGGAAACCAAAATGTGTCATTTTTAACCGGATTTTCGAAGGAAATATTGGTTATTAAAATGGTGATGTACGGCGGGCGGCTGCCAAACAGTGTCAAATTTAAATATGTTGTTTCCTGGGATTTAATGAAGGTCTAGTTTAATTTTAAAGATATTAGTTTATCTCCTTTGTGAGTTATCGCCATTTTTAATATCCAACAGTGGAATTTTTAAATATTTTACTCTTGTTATCTTTTTTATGACTTAGCATAATGTCTTATCTCACAATAAAAATTGGAGTGACAGATTTATTTGAAAATTATCTATTTCCTAAGTGGTAATGATTATAAGCTATATTATTAGACATTTTGAAGTTAATTACATTATTAATTATTAATTAGATCTGGGTTATATCTTAGCATATAATATCATTGGAGTGACAGATTTATTTGAAAATTTTCTGTTTTCTGATAAGATCTATAGGATTGTATATATAAAGTTTGAAATTTACTAGTAGGACTGTATAAATGAAATTTGAAATTTACTGTTCATTATTAGACATTTTGTAGATAATTAAGTCTGCCTAAACCATATATATTCTTACCCCCACCCTCTTTCAATTTGAGAATGTGCTTTTATATTGTAAACGGTTGAGATCCCCACCCCTAAACCATATATATTCTTGTATGGGACAATAAAACAAATCAAATGAAATATTTGGGGAGTCCCCGGGTTCACCCCACCCCCCTACTTTTTGAAAACTTGTAAACAGACAAGATCCCAACCCTGAAACCATATATATTCTTGTATGTGACAACAAAACAAATCAAATGATATAAAAGGCGATTCCCCTGGGGTCACCCCCACCCCCTCCTGTTTGAGAACTTGTAAACGGTCGAGATCCCAACCCCTGACAATAAAACAAATCAAATGAAATATTTGGGGAGTCCCCGGGTTCACCCCCCACCCCCTACTTTTTGAAAACTTGTAAACAGTCAGTTCCCAACCCTGAAACCATATATATTCTTGTATGTGACAACAAAACAAATCAAATGAATTAAAAGGCGAGTCCCCTGGGGTCACCCCCACCCCCTCCTGTTTGAGAACTTGTAAACGGTCGAGATCCCAACCCCTAAACCATATATATTCTTGTACGGGACAATAACACAAATCAAATGAAATATAGGGGAAGTCCATGGGGGTCACCCCCACCCCCCTTATTTTTGAAAACTTGTAAACGGTCTAGATCCACACCCCTAAACCATATATATTCTTGTATGGGACAATAAAACAAATCAAATGAAATATTTGGGGAGTCCCCGGGTTCACCCCAACCCCCTACTTTTTGAAAACTTGTAAACAGACAAGATCCCAACCCTGAAACCATATATATTCTTGTATGTGACAACAAAACAAATCAAATGATATAAAAGGCGATTCCCCTGGGGTCACCCCCACCCCCTCCTGTTTGAGAACTTGTAAACGGTCGAGATCCCAACCCCTGACAATAAAACAAATCAAATGAAATATTTGGGGAGTCCCCGGGTTCACCCCCCACCCCCTACTTTTTGAAAACTTGTAAACAGTCAAGATCCCAACCCTGAAACCATATATATTCTTGTATGTGACAACAAAACAAATCAAATGAATTAAAAGGCGAGTCCCCTGGGGTCACCCCCACCCCCTCCTGTTTGAGAACTTGTAAACGGTCGAGATCCCAACCCCTAAACCATATATATTCTTGTACAGGACAATAACACAAATCAAATGAAATATAGGGGAAGTCCATGGGGGTCACCCCCACCCCCCTTATTTTTGAAAACTTGTAAACGGTCAAGATCCACACCCTGAAACTATGTATATTCTTGTATGGGACAATAAAACAAATCAAATAAAAAATAAAAGGCGAGTCCCCTGGGGTCACCCCACCCCCTCCTGTTTGAGAACTTGTAAACGGTCCAGATCCCCACCCCTAAACCATATACATGTATATTCTTGTATGCAATAAAACAAATCAAATTAAATATAGGGGAAGTCCATGGGGGTCACCCCACCTCCCTTCTTATTGATAACTTGTAAACGGTCTAGATCCCCACCCCTAAACCATATATATTCTTGAAAGGGACAATAAAACAAATCAAATGAAATTAAGGGGAAATCCCCTGGGGTAACCCCCACCCCCTTCTTTTTGAAAACTTGTAAATGGTCAAGATCCCCATGCGGAAACCATATATATTCTTGTATTGGACCATAAATCAAATAAAATGAAATATAAGGCGAGTCCCCTGGGGTCATCCCCACCGCCTCCTGTTTAAGAACTTGTAAACGGTCAAGATCCCTACCCCTAAACCATATATATTCTTGTACAGGACAAAAAAACAAATCATATGAAATATAGGGAGAGTCCCTTGGGGATCACCCACCCCCCCTTTTGAGAACTTGTCAAGGTCTCCATCCCTAAACCATATAAATTCCTGTTTGTAATTTCAAGAAGATTTGTATGACATACAGAGTCAATCCATAGGCGTCACTAATGCATATCATAAACCAATTTGTACTGGACATTGCCCAATGTCAAGCGACAATGGGAATGACGAATTATTGGAGCTTTGTTTGGGAGACTTCGTAACAGCATTCTGTTACAATTATTTCTTGTTACTGATAAGTTTTATAGATTTGAAATGACATTGTATAAATGATAAATAAAATTTTGGATTTTTTTCTTCTTTTCTTTGGTAAATTGTTTGTAGAATTTTGTGGCAAGTTTGTTTGTTATTCTGTAAAAACTAATTTTCTGAATGCTATATATTTTTTTTTGATGAAGTAAACTCCTTTAAAAACTAAGCTTATATTGTCTATTAATAAACATATATTTAGATTTCTGATTTTGGGCCCAGTTTTCAAGTTGGTCCAAATTGAGGTCCAAAATTAAACTGTGTTTGATTTCAACATAAATTGAATATATATAGGGTTCTTTAAAATGCTTAATCTAAACCTGTATTTCTTTTCATTATTAATAAGATAATACCACATTGAGGTCCAAAGGGTCCTAAATTACACTTTTGATTAATTTCATCAAAAATTGAATTCTTTGGTTCTTTGATATGCTGATTCTAGCAATGTTTTAGTGTTAAATCATATCTAATTTTAGAGAGCTTAGTCATCACTGGTTGTTGTTATTATATTATTGATTATAATTTGAAAAATTGCACCATATCTTATTTTAGAGAACTATTTATCCAGTTTGAGTTATTTCCCTTTGCAGGGAAAATATTATGGATAAAATTAACCTGTGTTTCATTTCAACATAAATTAAATATATATAGGGTTCTTTCAAATGCTGAATTTAAACCTGTATTTAAATATTAGATTTTTGGGCCCAGTTTTCAAGTTGGTCCAAATCAGGGTCCAAAATTAAACTTTGTTTGATTCAACAAAAAAATTATTTATGGGGTTCTTTGAAATACTGAATCTAACCATGTATTGAGAGATTTTGGATTGTGGGCTCCTTTATCAAATTGGTCCACATTGAGGTCCAAAGGGTCTTAAATTAAACTTTTGTCTGATTTCATCAAAAATTGAATTCTTGGGGTTCTTTGATATGCTGATTCTAATATGTACTTAGATTTTTGATATTGGACCATAATAGGTATTTAAATGTCCAATTTCAAGTATTTCAGTTCTTAAACCACATTCATTTTGTGTCACAAACCTATGCTGTGTCAAATATTCAATCACAATCCAAATTCAGAGCTGTTTTAAGCTTAAATGTAGTGTCTATACTTGCTCAACTGTTTAGGGTTCGACCTCTGCAGGAAAATCCGGTTTGCTGTCACGCTGACAGCCTCTTGTTGTTTTTTTCTTCAGAAATTCCACTATGTTATTGAGATTACCCAAAACAGCAATTACTATTGAATGTCTATGATGTGAAAACTATTGAGCATTAAATGACCTTCATGTAATAGATGACCTTGACCTTTGACCTTTCGTATATTAATTGAATTTTGTAAGAAAAGATAATAGAACATGTAGAAAGAAGCAAACAAAGTAAGAATAAAATGTTCAGGATGATTAAAGCCACTGTTTTGTTTACAGGTCAAAAGTAAGAAGTCAAGGTTTTGTCAAAAGTGCTTTGCAACCACCCTTATTTGATACAAAAGAACCTAGTTACCATATATGTTTTGATACAGGACTGTATGAATTATTACATAGACCCTACCTAAAAGGCCAGGGGTGAATGTTATCACAATTATCCTTAGCAACCATTCATTTATAGTGTAAAAGTGCCTGCAACCATTTATTTATATTGGAAAAGTGGCTAGCAACAATATATTTTCATTTTCATTGAGACAAAAATCAGAAAAAAATTGATATCAAACATGCCGTTTTGTTTAAATTAGTGATCCCTTTGAAGAATTAACGCGCATTGTATGTACCGAATTGTTGATTTACACTGACTTGATTGTACACATGCATAATTCAGAATAGTTAATTATATGGAAAATTTAATTTCAAGGATGAAAAAAAATAAGGGTTTTATTACAAATCCAAATCCCAAAATAAGATGTGGTATGGTTGCCAATGAGACAACTCTCCACAAGAGACCAAATGTTATATTAAGAAAGGTCCTTTGAATCTACAAAAACAAGGTGAAACGAACATAAATTTATTTCTTTGGTTAGGGATGGGCTTTTTAGCAAGATGTTTTGCGTGGACAAAATAATCATTTTCACCCGTTATAGGGCTGGATTACTTATTTCATTTTTTCCCCATTGTGTACACACCCATATTTCTTTTTCAAATCGTATGTGCATCTGAATGTACAGAAAATACATTTTCAGCATGTCTTGGG